TTGTTTCTATAGCGTATGTCATTATGGATCTAGCGCAGAATTTGTATGTTTAAACTTTTGACCTTTTATTTATATTGGTTATTCCAGATGATGTCAAGAAGTGTGCCTGATATTCGTCTGGTTTTGTTGAGAGCGTCAAAAAACTACTTAATATAGGTACTCAATATTTATCTTCAACGCTTTTTTTTATTGGAAGGTTTTTTACATCAGTCTCATTTTTGAATACCTACAGGATCTGGAATCAATTTTAGTCAAAGGTTTGGTCATCACATCTGAGAGGTGCTCTTTAGTTGAAACTTGTTTGATTTTCAATTATTCTTCAAGAACTTTCTGTTATTACGTGTTTTGTTCTACGGTGAAATTATGAATTTTCTGCTAACTTTACTGCCCTAGTATGATCTACTTTAAGAGTAAGAAATATGTATAGTTGAAATTTGATTATTGATTTGTAAAGTTTAGTAAATCCATAAAATTTCTTTGGACGCTTCATTCGCAGCAACAATTTCAGCTTGTGTGGTAGATGTGGCGACCAAATTCTGTTGTTGACTCATCTAAGACAATATCCCTCTGAAAAAAATAATGACAACTCCAGAAGTTGATCTTGTTTGAGTACAACTTCCAAAGTCGCTGCCACTAAAGCATTATAAGACTCACGGTCCCGGTATATGTAGGTGACGCCCAGGTAAATTCTTCCTAAAAGGTATCTAAAAGTGTCTGTTGATGAAGGATTTTCCAAGGTTTTTGAGAGATATCCCCCACAGCACAGGCAAGGGTCTTAATCCAATCATTGAATACATTCAAGCACCTACTGACCTCTCTGTAAGGAATGGTTTGTTGCTGACTTTCTCTTTCTTTCCCCATTTTTGAAATATCAGAAATATGGTCTACCTACAACTGACTGATCTGCAGTTTTTGAAATAGAAGTAGTACAACTATCCTGCATTCTGATTAATTTTAATTTCACTTGCTTCGTTTCTTCCAATCTCTAAGCCCAAAAAGTATGTCGCTGGTTCTGCAGAGAGTTTGAATACTTGTCTTGAATCTTTAATTCATATGAACAGGTAGCAGCAACCAAGCCGTCATCGATGTAGAGAGTGATGATTAACCTTTTGTCATGTCTTTCTCTTACATACAAGCATTGGTCAGCTTCACTTGCCTTGAAACCTGACTTTTAAAGAAATGTGATTTTTGTGTAAAAACAACGTGGAGCTTGTTTTAAACTATGATAAGCTTCTCCTTACATTGCAGACGTGGTAATTTCCTTAGTGGTAACCATCTGGTTGTTTCATTAAGATGGTCTCTTTTGTGGTTCTCTATAAAGAAATGCAGTTGACACATGGAAAGTCTGTCTTCACATCATCGCAGCACCGCCCATACATGTTTAAAATGCCGTTGTTCCACGATAAATTGGTAACTTAGCTGAGTATTTGTTTCTGACAGCTTGAAAACTGTTAGAGGCTCTTGTGAGAACAGACCTCAAACTGCTACAGAAACATATTTCCGCTGGATCGCACGGTTGCTAATTCTAATCTTGTGTAACAGGACTGAAAGTGTTGGTGTAGTCAATACTTTCCCTTAGGTTTTGTTAATGATACATAATGCATCATATAGGTACATCAAAATATTGAACGCTTTTAGTCTTTGATCACTAACTTGGATTCGAGGGTGTATTGTATCCATTACATATAAACCCACTCACACTTCTTGAATGTAAACAAAAGCAAGACCTGAATGGCTTCTCTAGCTTTTTGTATCCCAACTATGTTCTTAAAAGGAATAATTCAGAGAGTTTTTGCGGCGGCCGTTTCCCTAACATGTGAAGCTTCTCTAAACTCTTTTCGATTTTCAAGCCTACAAGCAAGGGATATCAGGAATTATCGCTGTATTACAATCATCTCTGCCAAACCCAAACTCTTCGAATCTCTAAGAAAATGTTTGCACTCATAATCCCGATCCTTACAAGATCGATGTTTGCACCTTTGGTCAAACCAGACCACAAATTGATTACTGAAGTTGGTTTGTTATACCCTCAACCCACAGCTCCTGTTCCAATATGGAAGGCCTAAACTCTTTGTATCGAACTTCCCGTAGTCCGATGTTTCCTTTAATTCCAAAGATCCCTCCGAGGCTGCACAAGGGATTACTGATATATGTAATTTCCTTCGGTATGGAATTGTAGACTCACACAAACACTCCAATAAAACATCTGCTTGAAAACCTTGATTTAATAAGCAATGTGCTCAAGCGATTGCAAAAAAGAACACCGCATATCGTGCCTGGCGTACAAACCAATGCGAACCAACTCGATCGAACAAGTGCGTAATCGACTTTTGGACTGCCCGAGCGGATCAAAATTCTTTTGATCCTTTGCACAGACCATAGGAAAAAATTCCACATCTACTTCCTTTCGACATTTAGCTGAGGACAATCATTCCATTGTAGTATCGTCTTTGGCATACAATTTGCATCTAATCCCACGATGCAGGATAATGGCAGAGCGCCACAGGACAGGTACTGCACTATTGCCACACATTGGTTCTTACATGAAGAACGTTGTATTTAGACCTTATACTATTAGAAAAATCGCAATAGGGTACTTGCATGGAAAATTAAATGGATTACCTATTGTTTATTGCAAACTGTAGGAAATCGAAAAAAAATCGTTACTTTTTTTTTATTTCGCTCAAATATGATTATTCCGGAAGTTATACAAATATTAAGTTTTGTATATATAGATATACTGAGCATGTGCAACGTCACTAATTTATATGATAAGTGTCGTCATAGGCATATTTCATAGCGTTGTATCTCCGTCAATTTTTGACTAAGAAAAATAAAAAACACGTGTTAACTTATTTTTCATGGACTAACGAAATCAGCAATAAAAAAAATTGATGCAAGTACCCTATTACTCATGGGAGATGTTGCGCACTATATACCTCTGGAACTGCTTGCTTCCTACTTCATTTCCTGAATGATTTAACCTGACGTGTCCAAACAGGGGGTTAATTGGCATTTAATTTCTTCCACTCATGGTCATGGTACCGCTTAGCCAGTATAGACTTTGTCTTTTGCGAGCGGACCAATAAAAAAAAAAGTTCGATTCTTTATAAATGTACCTACATCTTTGACGTTCACCACACACTACTTTTATTTGAGTGGCCGCCGTCAGTTCGGTTGTCTTTCAAGGGAACTTCTCCCAACATAAATGCGTTTCCCCAGTGATCCAATATTGCTACTTTTATTTATCAACAACGTTATTGCATGTATCGGGTCCTCAGATGAACTATTATATGCGTATGACTTAAAGCACTGTTGTTAATCCCCTACATAACAATCCGCAGCTAGATCTTGATCATTGTATTTCTTAGAGCTCCTGCAATTTCTCAAATATCAATTTTTCCAAATGGAAATCATTTTGTTGCAATTAGCAAGCTGGAACCAATAATAGCACAGTTTTGACAACCTTGTTTCCACTCTTGACAAGGAATTCCACAGAACATTCTTGGCATCATTGTCAAAACTCTCCGCGTCCTGGGTTTTATCCAAAAAACATAAACAGCTTGCAAAATCATAACTATTCACTATTTTCGAGTGTGCTTGAGGTGAGCAATAATTTCAAAGACTTTTTCAGTGGGATATTATTATTATTATTATTATTATTATTATGTTCTTGACAATGAAAAGCGGCCTAAGACCGATGAGTCCATCGCTTTCGATTTTTCACTTTTAGTTTTTTGTTTTTGGTACTTCTTTAAAAATAACGCACTAATGTGTTGTTTATGGTACAAAGATTTTGGTCTAGTCTATTTTTGGAAATGTTTTTGTTTGGTGCACTTATCGTTTCTGGGCTTAGAGAATTCCATTTATAGACTACGCGATTGGTTAAAAAGTTTTTCCTTCCAAGAAGAACAGTTCTCTCTTTTTTCAGTTTTTGGTGGAGTCCTCTGAGGTTTAAGTTTGGATTCATTTGGAACATATCTTCCAGTTTTAAGTCTGTAGAGTAGTAGTCATTTAGGATCTTATGTGTTTCAATCAGGTCTCTTCTTCCTCTTATTTCTCTGAGTGTTGTCAACTTGAATATTTTTGTAGTCTTATTTTGTATGGCAGATTTCTAAGTTCAATTTGAATTTTGGTTATTTTTCTTTGCACACTTTCTAAGAGATCTATGTCTTTGATGTAGTAAGGAGACCAAACTGTGTGGCCATATTCTAGTTTTGGTCTAATGTAAGTAGTGTACAGTTTTTTTTATCGTTCTAACAGTTTGATTTTCAAAAGCTTGTCTCATAAGGTATATTATTTGATTGGCCTTCTTTACTGTGTGGGATATATGGGTTTCCCATTTCAGATCATCGGTGACATAGACTCCTAGGTCTTTCTGTTCTGAGACTTTTATGATTTCGACGCTATTTATTTGGTACCTAGTTGAATCTAAGGTTATTTCGTCCTATGTGTAAAACTATACACTCTTTTTCACTTAGTTTTAGCTGCCATGTGGTTGTCTATTTTTCTACAGTGCTCATGTCTTCCTTTAGTTGATGCAGTTGTGTTACAAGGATTTCCATATAGTTTTTTTGTCATCTGCAAAGGATTTTACTTCCATTATATTTCCAGTTCCAGCAAGACAGGCAACAACAGTTATTTTTTGTCACTTGTGATCAAACCAGCAGCCACAGAGTTTTGAAGAAACACATTTTAAACTTAGTATTGTTCCTTTTCTTACTAGACGCAAAGCAATCTATTATTTAATTTTTTTTTTCTATAAGCAATCTTGTATGAGTGTACTTCAAGACATTGATTACTGTATTGTTATTTATTTAATATTTCTAGATTTATTGGTTCTGGCTTTTTATTCTCAATCTTTCTTGACACTTTGTACTATACTTACTATTTTCATATCTTACCATCTATTGAAGATGGCCTCTACAATTTTTTTAATTTTTTTATTTGTATACTCTCTAAGATAAATACAATAGATTATTAATTCTTTTCCAGAGAGTATTTCATGCCATGATATCCGTTGCCAAGACAGACAACAATGTCTTCTGGACAGGTCAACAGGAGGCAAACCACGTTGCATAGGATGTTCAACGATATGTCGCCAAAAGCACTTGTTGCATCGTCCTGTATGTGGTACCAACAACAGCACTTACCCAACTTGGTGTCACATGATCAAGGACTCTTGCGCCAAAGGCTATATTATCGATACCAAGTATTCAGGCAAATGTGTAAGCATTGAAAACTAAATAAATAAAATGTTTTAATTGAGTTGGTTCTTTTAGGTCAACAATAAAAAAGATATGTGGTCCTGAGTCATAGTTGATGGGCTGATAGTTGTTTAAATTGAAACCAAAGAAAATCACATAGAGGAAATATACCTATAATGTAATTTCCATGTTAAAGGATCTGAACTAGGCAAATTTTACTTAATTGTATGTAAATGTATTAGATAATAATTAACTATTTATATGTAGGTAACTAAAAAAATAATATAATTGTACCAAATATACAATAATTTGACAAGGAAAGCTCTTGTATATTAATAAATATTAATATAAAAAATCACTATATAGCATTGATGATTATTTATCACCTCACTTATCACATTCTTTGATCCTCCTCAATTTTGGTACTGTTCTCCATAAAAGAAATTATATAATTTTCAATAATAACTTGAGCTATAAAAATTTAAATAAAAATATCAACAAAAATTAAATACTTGAGCATCCTTTTACCTGCAGTACAATTACTCTCAGTGGCTATACTCAAAGCTGTATCGTCATTTAGATTTACTAAGCCAAAATTAGCCCCTTGACTAAGCAATTCTTGACAAGTATGAGGATGATTTCCTTTAGCTGCATACATTAAAGGGCTATTACATAGCTGAAATGACCTTTCAATAAACCAATCATTAATTAATTAGGCTCTCTTACATGATCTACATGATTCACATCAGCTCCAGAACTAATAAGTATCTTAACAACTTCATGATGTCCACCGCTAGCGGCAAAAATCAAAGGGGTGTCCTCGTCCGGCCCCAATTTATTAACATCAGCTTTATGATTCAATAATAACTCGACTGTGCTATATTGGCCATAAGCCGAGCTCCAATGCAAAGCTGTAAGACCTTTATCATCCAACACATCCACGTCGTCCTCCTTCAAAATATCTTGAGTGGTAAGCTCGCCCTGTCCAGCTTTCATGTGAAAAGTAAGCTCGGCTGTTTTGGGGATTAGCGTTTCTGCTTGGGTGTTGCCCCTTTGTAGGTTGGTTAGGACTGTGGTCGACGTGGAGCACAGTTTGTAGGGCTGAAAGGCGCTCTTACGGTTTTTGTCCTGTAAAGATTGGGGCGACCATTTTTGGGGGGTAGTGCTACTGCTACTGAAACCGGTTGACCACGAAGAATGGTCGGCTTGTGATGGATTTTGTGTGGTTTTTGGGCTTTCTTCATTGTTAGAGTCTTGTACTTCCATTATAAATTGTGGAACTATTGTTTTTTTAGTTTTTAATACATATTACATAAAAATAAATAAAAAATAACAATAAACATTAAAGGATAGACGAGGGCTTATCGATACGATATAGTCGATATATCGATATATACATCGATACGTTCTCGATGATGGTGCATATCGATAAATCGATACAAATTATTATATCGATATGTATCGATAAGGATCTTGCAAAATAACTAGGTCTGTTGGCAGAGAAATCACATATTATATATTTTTGATTACCATAATAGACAAAGAGCAAGATGCAAACGAGATCTAGAAAAGCGTTGTTCAGATTAATTGATGACTATTGATGTACTTACTGAAACCAATTATGCATAAAGCAAAAGACCGCAGAATCATAACCTGTGGTGCAAACACGTCAGTGCGCGAATTGAGAAACGACACGCTATACGACATCACTGGTTCTCTGGCGTCGTGGAGGGCTTGAGATTTGATCTACACAGGCCTTATGGGGGAGGATAAACTATTCTGTAGTAATAATAATAATGATAAAGTTAACCTCTCTCAAACAATCTTGACATTGAGGTAGGTTTTAGGCAAGGATAATACACACTACACAAAAAAATCTATCCTCGTTTAACTCCTAAGCTTCCCACCATGCCAAAGTACCAGTGATGACGTAGACAGCTGGCGCAAACAGCTAACAACGTAGTTGATGACATCCAAGGATAATACATACACACTACTTACACAGGATTGCTTATCGGCCTCGTTTTTGGGAATCGCGGCCATATTGTGTAGCACCATTGACGACATCATCAACTTTTTACGTCGTTAGCTGTTTGCGCCAGCGGTCGTAGTATGGAATATATATTTATGATGAAAAATATTATTTAATTTTAACTAACATAATAGGCGAATGAGACCTAAAAAAGAGTAGTTTCAGAATATTAATTATTGTATTAAAGCCAAATATGCATGAAGCAAAGGCCAGCGGAATCATATTCTGTGGTGCAAACACGGTGTCTACGTCATCACTCACTGGTTTTTTGACGCTGTGGGGGCCTTGAGGTTCGATCCACACAGGCACTGCTAGACAATATGGCCGCGATTCCCAAAAACGAGGCCGATAAGCAGTCCTGTGTTTGTATTGATAGAGACTTTGCAAGAATATTATCGATGAAAGTGACGTCATTTCAAATGCTCAAAGTAGCTAGCAGCAGGGCATTTTTCCTCTGTGGCCATTTTGCGATGTGAAAGGGACTTTGCAATGAAAAATGAAATTATGGGGATTTCTGAGAAGGTCCAAAATAATAATGCGGTTATTGATAGCCTAGTTTACCTATTATTAGTCAAAGAAGTTGTATATGATATGCTTTATCTGATAACATTTTCGACTTTACTGCTCGCAGAGCGCTTCACGTCCGGGCGGTGCCGTCACACTTACAGTGGCTAAATAAACCTTTACATACAGTGGCGACAATAGAGGTCGCGCCGCCATCTTGTTCCCAACCTCTTGTTACCTTTAAATATTAATTTATAGGATTTAAATGGACATCTATCATAAAAAATTGAAATCGACATATTTGATGACCATTATTAGGTCATTCAAATACGTTGTTTTTTATGATTTATGATGGATGTTCACCTAAATCCCATATATTCATATTTAAAAGTAACAAGAGGTTGGGACAAGATGGCGGCGTTTTCAATGTAAATATATGGGATTTTAAAACCAATCAAAAATAAGACAGATTGTCGCCACTGTGGTAATAGAGTCACTGTAGTCACACTCTTGACGGGTGATCAATACTTCATGTATTACCATGGCCCTTACAAGTTTGGAACACTCGAGCTACTCGCTCCGGTGTTCTGTCGCGCCCGATTTACAGGGAACAGGAACAGATGCGTGGTGCAATAAATACTTCTCGAAAGAAATAAGCGCGTGAAGCCCCGGAGCTGTTCTAGAGCTCCTCCTAGGTGTGAAAGGAATACAACTTTAACTTATGCGACCGAATACCACATTCATCTCTTGACATTGTGTCCTTTTTTTTTCAAAATTGGTAGAGTTTCAGGGTACTTATATGGCTGGTACAAGTTGAAAATGAAAATGTGAAGGAATTTGCTATGATTGCACAGATCTCTGCTGGAGTGCTCCGAGAGCGATTATAAATTAATTTCGAAACGAGGGCACACCATTTGAAGTCGATAGCCGATCGTACTTTAGGTCTGTTCTCTCATAAATCACAAACCTATTAGAGTAAAGGACCCCGCACATTTCTTATGGAAAAGTGATCTATGTGGAATTTTGCTGAATTTTTGATATTGTGTATAGGGAGTCGTCCTTAACAAAAGTGATCATTGCGCTAATGTACAATACCCAACAGTTTTCAAGATATCAATTAAAAACTTTTTCAATTTGATACTCTCCAGTATAACGTCACCAGTATGCTCACAGCACTGAAAATTAAAACTATCCTTTCCACTTTTGACTTTGACTACCTATACTTATACTCTTCTCCTTTTAACATTTAGGCCCAGTTGTACAATCCTGGTTCAAAACAGAGCTTAGCTAAACTCGACTGGTACTTAAACTTTCCCATTTAAAATACATTGCTGTCAGATATTTATAAAATTCTATCAATTTTGACAGCTATGCATTTTAAATGGGAAAGTTTAAGTACCAGTCGAGTTTAGCTAAGCTCTGTTTTGAACCAGGATTGTACAACTGGGCCTTAGAAAATAAAAAAAACAACAACAGGTACAAATGAAATCGCTATATGACAGACATCATGACATGAAGTTGACGATTGCGGCAGGAGCTAGGTGAAAATCTATGAGAGGGTCAATAATAGCGGTGAGAAGAGCTATTCAAAAGTATCCTATCAAAAGTATCAAAAAAGCGCTGCTCTAAAATACTCGTCGCTTCAACATAGACACTTGCGTACAAACACTGGCATTGTATTTCGTTGCTTCGCTGGTATCGTTGCTTTTATCGTTTATCACAGCTCCAACATAAACACGGCCTTAAAAAACAGGTTTTTCGCGATTTGGTCAAATGGAAATCGCTACTAATTTTACGGAGCCAGAAAGAGCGCTTCATGCGAGATTTGAGAGCGTTCTATCCGGTTCATCGCTCAAGTCGAACACGTGAGTCTCGCGGAGAGCAAGGGTCTGTTTAGGCCGAACATGTGAATCCTTTTCGGATCGCTTTTTGATCAATCGGGTGCAGTTTTTGGGCAAAAGTCAAAAGCGCTATTAGTCAACGTCCGTACCCAAGAGCTGCTTGCACATTGGAGCGCTCTGGAGCACCACGGAAGCGCCCCGCACTAGATTTGTACCTACCGATCCAGTATCATGGCGTCAGACGCCTGTCTTACTTAAGGAGTGCTTATCCAAGGAGAATACATACTCTAAGGACTGCTTATCGGCCTGGTATTTTGGCGAAAGGGGGGGGGATTTGTTACACACAGGCTTTAAGAGGATAGGTCATCCGTAGTAGTATGTATCATCCTTGGTGCTTATCGGCCTTGTTTTTGGTAATCACCGCCCATATTGGTGTGATACCATTTCTGACGTCATTACTAAGTCGTCAGCTGTTTATACAGCCTACGTCAAGGCGGGAAATAACATGCTGTCACGTCACACTCACAACCTTGTATTTTGGCTTGGGGGGAAGGGGAGAATTGTTACACACACGCGAGGATAAGCCATCCTGTAGTAGTAGTGTGTATCATCCTTGTGGCTCACCGTCTTACCTCCCTGCCATAGAGAAATATAATAAACCAAGGTGAGAGTACCTCATTGATAACATGAAAGTTTTTATAGCGCTGACGTCACAGCGACGGTGGCGTCAATAGTGGCAGCCGGAACAAATACTGAAATGGCGGGAATTTTGAAATTTGACTTGAGTTGATTGCACAAAAAACTTACTTATGTTGTTCCACATCTTTTTTTCTCAAATCCGAATGAGAAAAATGATGTGGTACTCCATAAAGTTTTGTGCCATTTTTTGATGTAGATTGAAAAAAAAATGGTAAAATAAACACTAAAATTGTACTAGAAAAAATATATATTATAGCTAGATAGGTCAAATACCTAAAGAGTTTACAAACACAGTTATTACATCCCTTATACATGCTTTAATGTATGTACAAGCTAAGCTGGCCAAGGCCTAACATCTACATTTTATCTCTTCTGACTGAGGTCTCCTAAAACAGTAAAAAAATATGCCGTATATCACAAAACTAACATGTATACTTACTGGTTCAGTTTATCCTAGTTGTACATAATATTATAGGTACGCGATACCGAGTGCCTTAAAGGGGGTGTGCGCCAAAAAAACAACTTCATCTCAAGAAAAAGAGAAAAAAAATCTAAGAATAACAGTGAAATCCGCACCCCTCTATGACAAATAATACCGCAGATATGGCTCTATGAAGGTACCGCATCTCACCCTATGACGTCACGAAAGCGCAAGCGACGCACGAGAAAGTGGAGTTAATTAAATTTACATATGTTTTTCCTGTGTTACCTGCAAAAATCTAAACAAAAACCACTCACGCGTGCCGGAAACAATCAAATTAACAATGCGGAGCGCGGCTGGACGAAGTTCTCGTGACGTCACGAGAGCGTCGTCCACACTTTAAAGCGGTATATCTCAGCGATGGTTTATCGTAGAATAACGAGGTTTGAACAGTTATTCTTAGATTTTTTTACACTAAAACTTTAATTTTTGGCGCACACCCCCTTTAATAAAAATAACAATTTCTTCTTCTTGTTCTTTAGATTTTGTGAGTTCGAGTCTTCTTAGACGACCGCCCAATCGGTTAAAAATGACAGATTTCAACACGGAAATGTCGTTATTTTAAGGTTACTTATTTGTTTTCTCGGTCACAGTTTCTATAGTTATGGATGCTTGATAGGTTTCTACAAAACAGCTAGGAAAGCTCTGTAACTCATACGGTGCCCTTGTCTTGTGAATTGGTATGACAGAGAAAGATGAAACAGAATCGAATGATCGGACTGATCTTTCGTTTGCCTCTAGCTTTCCAAAAATTACGCAATGCGCTATGCGCAACCGGATGCGCAGTAATAGTATAACCTATTTCGGCTATACTTTTGAAGGTCTTTTTATTTTTTATTGTCTATGCTCCCTACTGTCACTGCCCTTTGACGCAACACCTGATTTCTCGGAGCTTCAAGCACCACGTTTGTCACGTATCATTTCAAAATTTTATTTGGGCGTTCCAGTGTACGACCGTACGTAAAGCTCGGGAGCTCAACGCTTCTAGTAGCTGCGAGCGTCATACTCCCATTCTAGAAAGCAGCTAAGAGCTGCTTTCCAGTGCACGAATTATAAGAGTATCATGCTCCTGGAGTGTGACGCTCTTGAACTGTTGGTCCTAAGCAGCACTGGAACACTCTCGAAGAAACCGAATGAAAATAACCTGAATTTTCCTATCCCGCACCATTTCGAAGCATGAAACACCGAAACAATGGTAGGTGCACGGTGCACGAGAGGGCAGGGGATAACAGAAATGAGTAGTTTAAGTGCATGACACTCCAAGCACTGGAACGGCGCCAGTAAATGCGGAGTACTCCTGAGCTTATATTTTGTGGGGTAGTCCCGCGCGTGTTCAAAACAATTCCAAACTGGCTAATTAGTTGATTCGTGGTGCGAGTCACGAATACATTTCACGCACGTGGTTTCTCGCATTGTGTACAGCCGTCTTTACGGAACTCTGTTTCAAGGCGAGAACCCACGGGCGTAATTGACGTAAGCGTAACATGAGCGTAACTAATCATGTGATTTAATTTATACTATTTCATTGCGGCAATGCAGCCATCTTGAATTTTTGACATTACGCTGCCGCTACGGCAAAAAGTTGGGTTTTGTTCAAGAATCGTTGAACTTTTCGACGTAATCGTGGCAAAATTGTGACGTAATGTATGAGGTGAGTTCAGCTTGGCAGAACGGAGTTGGAACGGATAAAGAGCAGTTTCATAGTAACCTGAACACAGAGCGAAAAGAGTAAAATGGTTACTCGAACGCATTAGGAACAAGGCGAGCCGCTGCCAATGAAGAAATGCCGCGGCCCCCGAATGCTTAATCCCATCACAAACCGGAATATGTTTTTCTGCGGATATTTTGGGGAGCGATGCCATTTTTTCTACCAGGATCCCCAGGGGGCAAAATACCGTCGCGTTTTGGAATGTGCAATTTTGTATGCACACTCGGAACACTGTAGCAAGAATAGCAAGACTGCAGTTTTGTGCGAGCGTCTGTACAAAAGCGCCATGCACGTTGTTGTTTGCACGTTGATGTATGCACGTATATGTATTAAGACATCCACGTCCGTGTGTAACCGCCCATTAATGTTTTTGTTTGCACCGTTCATGTATGTGCGTACATGTTTTCAGACATCCACGTCCGTGTGTAACCGCCTTTTGCCTTCCGTTCTAAGTATTTGATAAGCATCTTGTAGTGGCGTCACTCAATCATCAAAATGTAATTACCTAACACTGGGTCGCACTAGGTCATCCTTCTATCCTTGGAGTGCGTTTAGAAATGGAATGTGAAGGTAGAGTAGTTGTTTGTCAGAGTGTCCTGACGTCATCACTTGGATTGCGCTATTTCTGAACGGAATGGGGCATTGCGGAATGTCAATTTCATGAATTACGACGCAAGTTCAACACTACAATTTTAAAAATGGCAATGAGAAGTGCATGTATTTTATTCTTATCCAAAGAGGTTCTGCTGGAACATCCTTCATCTGAAGAAACTGCTTCAGATAGTGAAATCACTAACCTGTATGTTGAATACTTACAGAACTGCCGTCAACAAGGGGCTCGTTATTCTTCAACACAACAGTAAAGTCAACATTGTTGATATCCATATTTTTCGTCTCCACCTAGAGGACTCCATCACAATAACAATGCAAATAACTTTAAAATTACGTCAAACCTGGTAAAAACCGCGGGGCGTTTTTCAACTCGGTCCCTGAGTGGGGTAATTGGGCGCACTTTGGGCACGTGAATAGGCTCGTTCAGTGAGGTTTCATTAACCACGTTTTTTGATATTTTTATGGACTATTACTCACATATAGCACACAAAAAAAAATTCAGCGCAATTGGATAAATATTAAAAAAGTTATGCGGCTTTGAATAATAAAACATTATGCCTCAGAAATTCATCGCTTAAGCCGGGCTCAAACGACTCGTGTACTTGACGAATAATTGTTACTTGCGTATACTTGCCATGTCGTGTGAGTGGGTTACTTGTACAATTATTTGTCACTCGTTGGTTTTCCATTTCTTGTCGGTAAAAATGTCCCGAGTCAAAGGAATCACGATTATTCGTACACTTGCCAAGTTCATACTTGTCAATACTTGTAGAGGCGCTCAAACGAAATGCACAAATAATTGGCTTTTACTGCGACTATTTCATTTAGTTTTCGACGAGCATCAAGGTTTAGCCAAATGTTCGCGCTCGCGTACTTGTAAATTGAACACGTCGTGTGAGCGCCTTGCTTGCCATCGCGATTCGCAAAGCTAGTATACTTGCCAAGTACGCGAATAATTGTGTATTCGCCAAGTACACGAGTCGTCTGAGCCCGGCTTTAGAGATGGTATGACGTCATCTCTCGAGTCAAGACGGGCTAAAGGCCGTCACACGACCAACGTGAGAGATGCAGTGACGTCACCGCGTGTTTCAAAACTTTCAAATTTGGAGCTTTTAGATAATTTATTTAAATATGAACAAGGGCTCGGAAAATTATGAAATTTTGCACAACTGCTAAACTCAATACGCTCTTTTAGAATATGTAATAAAAAAAATATGCTGTACGAGCCTATTCTCAATTTCTGAACGATTCCAGCTTACTCCGAGTAAGCACCTGTTAATTTATAAGCGGTTTAGAGTTACTCTAGGGTCTCTCTCACACCCAGAGTGCTATTTCTAAACGCAACCGCTCTTGCTTTGGACGGTTGGAGTTGTCCGGAAATGAATTTCATAACCTCAATTTCTTCAAATAATAAATATATTTACATATTTTATTTTAGTGTATTATTTTTGTGATTTTATAAAAGATTCAGTGCTCTGCGACTCTATTTCTTTGCTATAATTAGGTAACGGAATCCCATAGGAGTAAAAATGTCGAATATAATCTTGTTCCCGCGCTATTTAGTGCCATTTTTCACATTTTTGTCAAAAATTGGCGGCAAATCCCTTTTTCCTAACCGAAATCCTTCCACAACCGCATTTTCATCTTGTCTTTCATATTGTAAGTACCGAAATTTCTCAACCACCATGCCTTCTGTTTCCTCAGAGAAGCTTAAATACACCAAAGTATTGCCAGATGCATTTCCACCAACCAAAGGCTCTCTCAAAGCAGCCGGCTACGATCTTAAAAGTGCTGTAGACATAAATGTTAAAGCAAGGGGCAAAGCCCTAGTGGATACAGGACTTCGTGTCGAACTACCTGAAGGCTGTTATGGTCGTATTGCACCCAGATCGGGCTTGGCTGTGAAAAATTTCATTGATGTTGGAGGTAAGAACAATTTTCATTCTTGAGTGCATTCATTACGTTATTCCATGTATTTTCAGCTGGAGTAGTAGATGAGGACTACAGAGGTGTACTAAAAGTGGTTTTATTCAATCATTCTGATGAAGATTTCGAAGTGAAGAAAGGAGACAGGATTGCTCAGCTTATTTGTGAGAAGATCTACTATCCTGAACTAGAAGAAGTCCAGGTAATTAACCCTAAACAATTGGGTTTTTCATATTTACTCCTAATTTATTTCTTTCAGGAATTAACTAATACAGAACGTGGAGCAGGAGGATTTGGTTCTACTGGAACTAATTAGGTTTAGGAAAAACAGTATTTTGTTTTTAGTTTTAAGGTTTTTCTCACACATGAATTTATCCATTTTTATCCTTTGAATTTTGATTGATTTTGCTGTCCATTTTCTCATAAAGTTATGTTCCTACGTTTCTGAGTGTACTTCAGTTTTGGTTATTTATGTGTAGTTTTTTTGCATAGTCATTGGCTGTTAATAGTTTTTAAGATTCAACAAACTTGTAAGGTATTATCATTACTAAAGTATGTACTGATTTTTTGATAAAATGATCTCTGCTCTATGGGTATTTGATTTTTTCAACAATCAGTATTTGTAAAGCTTGTACAATAAAAGAAGTAGATACCTGCGTGGTATTCCAAAAAAGTTGTTTCATTATTTTTATATTTTTTTTTGAGGAAACATCAAATTGATTTTTGGGAAAAAAAAAATACCTATATTTTCTTGGTCAAAAGATTCCTTGGAATTCGGAGACAGATATCCTGGATATCTAGTCCCTGCTCTTGGATTTGTGAAAATATACCAAGACAAATTCGTATCGATATGCACTATCATCGAGAACGTAACGATGTATGTATCGATATATCGTATCGATAAGCCCTCGTCTAGCATTAGCTGGTGTACAAAAAAAGAAGAGAAGAATAATTTAATTTTATAATTGACAAATTGTTGACAACATAATTTATTGTTCAATAATTATTAATAACATTAAACTATAAAAATTATTATAATTTACATTGTATTGTGTTATAAAATGGGGGATGAAGTGGAACTTGCCCAAAGTGCTTCTCCCAGTGAAGATACAATTTTCGGAAAAATTCTTCGAAAAGAAATCCCATGCAAATTCATCTATGAAGACGAACAAGTAGGTTTTTAAAATACAATCTGAACACCACTATAACAATGCCCTTTTTCAGTGCGTAGCTTTCGACGACGTAAATCCCCAGGCCCCTGTCCATTTCCTAGTGATTCCCCGCAAAGCCATTTCGCAACTCTCAAAGGCCGAAGACACCGATGAGGCCCTGCTAGGACATTTGCTGATCGTAGCCAAGAAAGTTGCAGCTCAACGAGGCCTAGACAAGGGATTCCGTATTGTTATCAATGATGGTCCCATTGGGGCTCAATCCGTTTACCATATTCATATTCACGTTTTGTCTGGCAGACAAATGCAGTGGCCGCCAGGCTAAGAACTTTCATTTCAAATAAATAAATATTAAAATAGAAGTCGAACCTATGTATTATGTATTGTGTTTATTTATTATTTATTGATGCCCTAGACTAACCCAATGATTTACCCCACTAGTGAGTAAAGAGTGAGGCAGGAATTACTCAACTCAATTTTCCTCGATTTTTAATTATAATTGAATTTATGTAGCATGGTTTTTTTTTCGGTAGTTCCATAATAATACTGTGTATCCGGAATAACTTGAAGTACATGGGAATTTTGGCAACCATTGAAGATACAGGATGGATCAAATGGGAAAAAAGGTGCGCAATCAAGTGTTGAAGGCACTTGATTGCACCATCGTGTATGTCATCAACTTCTGTGAACTCAGAATAGCAACTCCATATAAAATCAAATATACAGGGCTTGTTCAATCAAGAAGTTGGGTCCACCCTATATTTTTTGGTTCTCCTGGACCAGATGAATCCGGCCTCCATTTCACCCACAGTGTGGAGCCGGCCTTTATTTCCTCAATGTCCGAAGGACGAATGATATGAATCCGGCTCCATTTCACCTACAGTGTGGAACCGGCCTTCATCTTCTCCATGCCAGAAGATTAAATAGTGTGGAACCGGCCTCCATTTCTCACAGTGTGAAACCGGCCTTTATTCCCTCAGTGTCCGAAGGACGAAAGATGTGAATCCGGCCTCCATTTCACCCACATTGTGGAACCGGCCTTTATTCCCTCAATGTCCGAAGGACGAATAATGATGTATGTGAATCCGGCCTCCATTTCACCCACAATGTGGAACCGGACCTTTATTCCCTCAATGTCCGAAGGCCGAATAATGTGAATCTGGCCTCCATTTCACCCACAGTGTGGAACCGGCCTTCATCTCCTCCATGCCAGAAGGTTAAATAGTGTGGAACCGGCCTCCATTCTCACAGTGTGAAACCGGCCTTTATGAGGGAACCTCAATGTCCGAAGGACGAAAGATGTGAATCCGGCCTCTATTTCACCCATAGTATGGAACCGGCCTTCATCTCCTCCATGCCAGAAGGTTAAATAGTGTGGAACCGCCATTTATTCCCTCAAGTTCCGAAGGACGAGAGATGTGAATCCGGCCTCCATTTCATCCACAATGTGGAACCAGCCTTTATTCCCTCAATCCGAAGGACGAATGATGGGAATCCGGCCTCCATTTCACCCACAGTGTGGAACGTGGAACCGGCCTTCATCTCCTCCACGTCAGAAGGTTAAATAGTGTGGAACGGCCTCAATCTACAAATATGAATACGGTGGGTTAAAAAAAAAAATTCAAAGGCTATATTACCCTTTGGTTCTTTTGTCGAAAAAATTCAAAATTCGAATTTCGGATTTAAAACAAATAACATTGAAAAGACATATCTCTTTTGAAAGAGAATGAAATTACCTGCAAAATGTTTTTTTATTGAGATTCCAGGCCGTTTTCGTCTTTGAGATATCAGCCGTCAAAGTTGAAATTCATTGTAATTTTGGTATAATTTTCGAGGTCGATTTTCTCGAAAACGATGACCCGTGGAGGGATACTTCTTATGAGCTTATTTGTAGTATTTCACGAGATCTACAAGCTTTATATTTGAAGTTTTCCTCTCGGGCTTTTCGTTTTCGAGTTAGGACACTTTGAAAATTAAAAAAAAACACAGGGTGAGTTACTAAGCGCGCGGTGGTCCATATTTCCTATACCAACGGATATCGGAGAAAAAACTAAATAAAAAACTTGTAGATAAACATGAGTACTACATCCCTTTAATTATTTTCCAGTATACAGGGTGGCCCAATAACTAAGAGTGACACAAAGTTATGTTTTTTTAAATGACTCTCCCTGTATATTATTACATTTCTGGATTCTGCGGAAAATTCTAGACATATGTACAATGTCATATAGGTAACTATCTTCAACTGTTTCGGGAATATTGACAGTTGAAAATTGACTTGTTTGCATCTTTGACCGACTGTAAAACCTGAACGGTTAATTTTACAAGAAAACGGATTTTAAATTCCTATTTCAGTTTTTCATAAACTATCATTTGGCAGCAATCTTGAATTTAATCCATAATTAAAAATTCTGCCTAAATTATTAATCTTCGGTTAAATTCAAAGTTGGTGTCAAATGATAGCTAAAGTCCGTATTACATATGTGTATTTATCCGTGTATTTCTTCATGTAGTTCAGGGTGCCAACATTATTTTGTTTTTCATAATGCTGATTTATGTTGCGTTTGAAGTTTTTCAGTTGTCACCCTGAACTACATGAATAAATTCACAGAAAAATACACAGATGTCATAAGGGCTTTAGGAAAATCTAAGATAGCAATGTGAAATCCGTTTTCCTCTAAAATTAACCGTTTAGGCTTCACAGTCTGTCAAAGATGCAAAAAGTCAATTTTCAACTGTCAATATTTCCGAAACAGTTGAGTAGGTATATGACATTATACATGAAATATGTCTACAATTTTCCGCAGAATCCCGAAATGTCATAATATACAGGGGGAGTCATTTAAAAAAACATAACTTTGTGTCACTACTAGTTATTGGGCCACTCTGTATGCTGGAAAGTAATTTAGAAATGCAGTATTCATGTTTATCTACAAGTTTTGTATTTAGTTTTTTCTCCGATCTCCGTTAGTATAGGTGATATGGACCACCGCGCGCTTGGTAACTCACCCTGTATATAAGGTTTATCCCCATAGATTTTTTTGTCGAAAAAATTTAAAATTTAAATTTCGGAACTTTTTTGTGATGGAGATCTGGAGGGGTTGCAAATCTCCCAAAAAACAGGTTTTGTTGGTTCCTTATATAGCATTCGTCCTTCGGACATTGAGGGAATAAAGGACGGTTCCACTCTATTTAACCATTTGGCATGGAGGAAATGATGGCCGGTTCCACAGTTTGGTGAAATGGAGGCCAGATTCACATCATTCGTCTTTCGGACATTGAGACAACAAAGACCGATTACACACTGTGGGTGAAATGAAGGCCGAATTCACATCATTATTCGTCCTTCGGACATTGAGAGAATAAAGGCCGATTCCACACTGTGGGTAAAATGGAGGCCAGATTCACATCTTTCGTCCTTCGGACATTGAGGAAATAAAGGCCGGTTCCACACTGTAGGTGAAATGGAGGCCAGATTCACATCATTCGTCTTTCGGACATTCAGGGAACAAACGCCGATTCCACACTGTGGGTGAAATGGAGGCCGGACTCACATCATTCGTCCTTCGGACATTGAGGAAATAAAAGCCGGTTCCACTCTGTGGGTGAAATGGAGGCCGGTTCCACATCATTCGTCCTTCGGACATAGAGGGAATAAGGGCCGGTATTGAAAAGGCTTTCCGAATTGAGAAGGCTTCACCACTTCACCCACACCTTTCGGGCGAAGATCATGGGCGCCGCTAGCCAGCGGGGGGCAAGGCACGGGGGGGTCCTGTCCCCGTACATGCGCCACTGGTGTAAATTTTCGCAAATGTGAAGGTCATTTTTATGAATGTATAAAATGTATGCTCTTTTGTGGATTTCTATTGACATATGTTTTAGCGTGTTCTATATTTTATAAAAAAAAATTGAGAAAATTTTTGGATTAATTTTCTCTGCTATTCCATCCACAGACGCGTTTCTACGATGGCTCAGAAGGGACATGACTATGTGTTATTGTATTAAATCTCGCACTGACAGATTCAAATACGCACTGCTAGATTTAATCTCGCACTGCTATATTAAAAGACGCACTGCGAGATTTATTCTCGCACTGCTAGATTTAAAGACGCACTGCCAGATTCAGGGCCGGATTTACGCACAGGCAACCGAGGCAACCGCCTAGGGCGCCACGATTAGGGGCGCCAAATTGCAAGCAAATTTATTTCGAGGGAACAACAACTAAAAAAAAATGTTAATGCTACAAGGATAATAGGGAAGAAATAAAAGATCCCACAATATTGTCCGGTAATAGTTAATTTACGTGTTACGTCACACCGCTCATCATGGCACCTTCGATCATCTTTGTCTCAAGAAAGACTGAACGGGCTTTTGCTCTAGGACTTGCGAATGTTATAACCATTGAACACACCCCATGATTATAACACAGCATGTTATAACATGTTGGATCGTGTAGATATTTGTAGATGGGTCTGTTCTCACACAAATTACAAACCAGTCAGAGTGTTTTTGATTGTTCCAAATCGCCAATAACCAGTTTTATGACCATTTTCAATCAAGGAAATTCGCTCTGACTGGTTTGTGATTTTTGTGAGAACCGACTGCACGATCGAAAATGTTATAACATGCTATGTTATAAACATGGGGTGTGTTCAATGGTTATAACATTTACAAGTCCTAGAGCAAAAGCACGTTCAGTCTTTCTTCAGACAAAGATGATCGAAGGTGCCATGATGAGCGGTGTGAGGTAACACGTAAATTAACTATTTATTACCGGACAATGTTGTCGGATCTTTTATTTCCTCCCTATTATCCTTGTAGCATTAACAATTTTTTTTAGTTCTTGTTCACTCGAAATAAATTTGCTTGCAATTTGGCGCCCCTAATCGTGGCGCCCTAGGCGGTTGCCTCGGTTGCCTGTGCGTAAATCCGGCCCTGAATCTGGCAGTGCGTCTTTAAATCTAGCAGTGCGAGAATAAATCTCGCAGTGCGTCTTTTAATATAGCAGTGCGAGATTAAATCTAGCAGTGCGTATTTGAATCTGGCAGTGCGAGATTTAATACAATAAAACATAGTCATGTCCCTTCTGAGCCATCGTCCTATCCTAACCTATCAGGTCTCGTCAGTATGGCTAGGAAAGCAAAGAAAACCAATCCAAGTTTAGTGCCTGTAGGCAAAATAGTGGATAATAGGAGAAAACTTGTTTTCCCTATTCTGGGTTTTCCCAACTATTAGATGGTCATCACTAAATACAGCAAAAGTGCTATTTAGTGTTAAATCCTAGTCTTAGATGGCGCCACGAACAAATTTCGCTCGTCGTAATAT